GTTTAGTTGGACGTGGATTGCTGATAGACTTACGATGAGAATGATAGTGACCTCATGACCGATTTTAACGAACAGAGAAGGGAATCCATGAGATATTATAAACGACATAAATTCAGCGCCATTTTCCTCCTCTTTCAGCGGGCGATGTCTTTGAGCCGAGTCGTTAAAGTAGGTCACATCGCCCAAGGCACGGCCGGTCCCATCAATAACGCACCGAGGGTTTACTTTAAACTGCCTTAGTAGGAGTTATTGCGGATTCATGGAGAATTATCATTGAAAAATTTCTAGGTACTTTAACTGTTTAGACTGGTTGCCTAGCTAGTGATATAAATTAGTCTGTATCTGTCTTGCACTCAATATAGGTGATTTTGTAGTATCAGTTCATTTAAAAAAAAAACTTGGCCGTATATAATATAGTATAGTATAGTAGGCAATATACAAGTAGCTATTGAAGAAACTACAAGAGAAACGGAAACTTTGAGTGAAATATCCATACATTTTTCTATTTTAGTATTTTGTAGCGTAAATTGACGTATTTTTATTTTATTAAAGATATCTAAAGACTTCTTTATAAAAATAAACTTGGTTTTTGTATAGTATAGGTAGACAAACGGGCACACAGCCTACCTGATGGTAACTGCATGCCGTGGCCCATAGACATCTACATGTATCCTCAATTAGGAATCCAAATGCAGATGCATTGTCACCCCTGAGGACTAAAATGGAATGCCTCGTTTCCAGTAAAAAGGGTCCCCGGTTCTCTGCAATCACCATTCGAAACACAGCAGCATTAAGCTGCTATTTTATGCTGGTATTCTGTGAGAGCGTGGTCCTTCCCCGGTCGAGCCGACCCATTCGTGCTACAACCATTACCTATATAGCTGCAGCCTGGCTCTACCACATTTATTGTTATTTTAACAAACATATAATGTATACCGCTATATATAACTCTTATAGATGCTGTGTTTATTCCAATTATAAATTATGTATCCTTGTAAACAGCCTATGCTGGTAATGTGATTTAGTTTCTAGTTATTTCAAACTTGACCTTTTCTAAATGCCTGGCTTAGAATAGAAAGAATCCAGCTTAACCTAGAAACACAGTTTTCAGTTACACTTTTAGAAAATAATTATATCGCGTCTTTTTTAGGAGCAAAAGAAATTGGAACGCATTTTCAAGTTTTGCAGCTCACTTGTTGAATTGAAACACATAAAGTTACTATTTAGTTACTCGTATTTATGGTAAGGGCTTTAACATAAATAGAAATTGTATTTTTTTAATTTCAGAATTCTTACGTACAAAAGTATAAAATATGACATGTAAATTAATTAGTACGGTATGGAGTCCAAATAACGATTTTTACTGTTTTATTAGTATCAATATTTAATCTATAACGGTGGGATTATCGGTCAATGTTAATTAATGGCGGTTATGTTTGACGTCACGCGAAAAGTGCATTTTATGGTATGTTTATATATCAGAATTTTTATCACATAATGCACAAAAGTTAACTTTTATTAAAACGTGAATTTTTTTTATTAGTATGAGCCAGCTGAAGTCGAAAATGGCAAAGCGCGCTGACTTAGCTCAACAAAAGCCTAAATTAAATTAGACTGTATATTGAATGTGTTAATGCGTAAAAATTCTAAAAAAAAGGTAGGTTAGTGTAGCGGCTACACTAACGAGCTCAACATGTTACCGTCCATCCATTGCAATCTTCGACTTCAGCTGGCTCATACTAATAAAAAAAATTCACGTTTTAATAAAAGTTAACTTTTGTGAATTTTTTTGGCTGCGACACTGTGGGACGCGGTTTCGAATCCCGCACGAAGCAAGTATTTTTGTATAACTTAAATATAATTGTTCATTTGTTCCGCGTTTGGATGTCTATCGGCATGCAATATATTTACGTGAAAACCACCACGATACAATAAAAATTTTAAGTCAAACAATAGAAGAGGTAGAAGACTTAAAATAAAATAGAAATTTCTCTCAAATGGATTTATACTAATACAGGCACGTGCCTAGGGGCGCAAGGTTGAGAAGGGGCGCGCGCTCAAGTTTGTAAATGGAAAAAATTAAGTAAGTACTCACATAAAATAAATAATGTACTTTCTGTACAGATTTAGAGATTCCAAAGCGCGCCCCATCTACTTTATAGCTTCCACATCGTCCTCACTCTGCCATCACGTTTTTCATTCACGCCTACCTGTTACGTGTCCTAATCATTTTGTAACTTAATTAAATAAATATATAAATAATTTATAATATAGTTTATTGATAAATAAATAGTTTTAATTCATATTATATGACCGCTGGAGAGGCGTCGATGGAGTGTATTCCTAGGGCGCTGTCGACATTAATTCGCCTCGGGAATCCGCCTAAAACCTAGAGATGTCCCGAATAGTTGTGATAGCGAATAGTCGAATACCGATTAATCGCCATCACCTATGGCGAATAGTCGAATAACTTACCATTTTTCTTTGACATAAAAAGGAATATAAAAATAATTTAATTGTTACCAAATACTTAATGTCACTCCTTTGAGTATCACGCTTGTAGTAGTTTTCAACTGACCAAATTATTTTATTATGTATTTTTTTATTTATTTGTTACTGTAATTTTAAACTTTGCTAAGGATATAAGAAAAGAAAACAATGAAGTTAAAGAAATCAGTCTAAAATTGTACTGATTTTATATTTGTAAATTCTGGCAACCCTTTTTGGTACCTATTTTACGGGGAATACCTCGTTTTGTAACCCAGTATTTAATACTGTAGAGAATGTCCCGCTCACACGATTTCGCTTGCGTTTAGGTTGGGCGGCATGCATTTGTTAGGCATTTGTGATAAGCTTGCTCGATGTGGCATCGGTCGACGTTTAAATTCAATCAATAATATCTTACTTAACTTAAACACGTAACTAAACAAGTGCTTCAGTTAAGTAAGATATTAAAGTAAAGTAAAAGTAAAGTTACAGCCTATATACGTCCCACTGCTGGGCACAGGCCTCCCCTCATTTCTGAGGGGGTTTTAGGGCAAGGAAGTGTCCGCCGCGCTGCCTCAATGCGTGTTGGCGAACTTCACATGTCTTCGAAATATTTTTTTCTTATTCCTCAGACATGCAGGTTTCCTCACGATGTTTTCCTTCACCGCCGAGCACGTGGTAAATCAGCATTTAAAATTGCAATTAACAATTTCATTGGTGCCGGCGGGGCTCGAACCCGGGTTACTCGCGTTCTGTTATATTTACAGCGAGCGTTAACCATCTGAGCTACCACGGCTCTTAATCGGTAAGATATTATTGATTAAAAATTTCAATTGAATTAAAGACTGAAATAGTTAGTGTAACTTAAAATGAAAAACAATCATGCCAAATCTGCCATTTTAAGTAAGCTTGCTAAACGATACTTAGTCACACCAGCAAGCTTGGTTTATTCAGAACACTATTTTCTGAGGCAGGTTTGATTTATGAAGGAAAGCGGAATCGATTTGATCCCAATCATTCAGAAAAACTAGTTTTTTTGTACTTCTTCATTCATTCTGCAGCTATTCCTTATTATGGTTGTAGCACGAATGGGTCGGCTCGACCGGGGAAGGACAACGCTCTCACAAAAACCAGCGTAAAATAGCAGCTTAATACTACTGTGTTTCGTATGGTGAGTGTAGATATTCGAAGATCCTTTTTTACTGGAAATGAGGCATTCCATCTTAGTCCTCAGGGGTTTGCGTTCAATCGAGGATAAATGTAAATATTTATAGGCCACAGCATCCACTTACCATCAGGTGGACTGTGTGCTCGTTTGTCACCCTTATTCTATTAAAAAAGCACAATCTGCCCCTTTTGGAATTAAAATAAAAGAAGAAAAAACCTAACAAAATAACTTCAACACTAACTACCTAACTGTCTAACTTTTTATATTTATGATTATAATTAATATGTATGTTTTGTAATTGTAAAAGTATGTTGTGTAATTAAAAAAAATATTAAAGTTTGATTAATGATTTCTTATATTTACGCGAACACTACACATTTAAATAATACTAGTTTTTACGGATTTTATCGCGTTAAAATGAATAATTTAAAAAATTCATCATTTTAATCTATGGTAACCGCGGTTTACTATGATATCTGGACGTTGAACATCTCAGTCACCCCGTGATCATGAGTGCTGTAAAGTGCCGGAAACGTCGGGTATATTACCTACAACAAAAAGTTAATATACGCGATAAAATCCGTCAAAACTAGTATTATTTAAAGTTTGATTATTTCTAAGTCTATAGTTTTTTTTTTTGCATTTGTGTAACATTTAATTGCAATGTCACCCGCAAATTGTTCAAACACACTTCATTGGCAATAAATATTCTGGTTTCCGATGGAAACTGTCATTAGCGTGTGGGGCTGTTTATTTATTTATTTAATTCAAAAACTCTTGTGGCTTACAGAAAATCCAACACGCACACAAGTTTAAATTTTACATGCAAAAATATTCAAAAAAATGCATCCAATTATAACAACACAAATTAATATTTATTACTTATAAATTAATAATTAAAATTAATAATCATAAGGTAAACAATTATACAATATTAGTGATATAAAATCTCTTAGGTTTTTAGCAGCCCGTGTTGAGAAATTAAAATAGTAATAAACAATAAAATATTAATAATTATACAATGTTTAAAAAAGAAAAAGGTCGCAATCATGCAATATGAATATGAAATATTTTGTAATATCAATTCATAATGTAACGTCAATAAAATCTAATTAGAATATATGCCCATAATTAAAATTACAACTTAAATACAAAGTAATAAATAGTACATAGTCAAGCAAATTAAATTGTCGAATTATTAATTGTCTTATTATCGATAATTTTATAAAAAAGAGTCAGCAGACGTGTCATAATGTCTGCAAATATGTCAATTTCATCGTGTTGAGTGAGTATGTATGTATTAGTATGAATACTGTTGTTGATACGCGGTGTGGTTGTTATACAGCGGTGCGTGTGGCACTGCGGCGGCGGCGGGCGGTGCGCGCGCGACGCGGCGGCGGCGCACTACCGCGCCGTGTGCCGCGCGCTCGTGGCCGAGGCGCTGGAGCTGGCGTCGTTCCTGGCGCGCGTGCGCGTCGGCGGCGCGCGCGATCTCGGCGCCGCGGAGGACTCCGCCACGCATCTCGACACGCTGCACTTCTCTGATTGGGTATGTAACCACTAGTACAGTTGAGTCGCCAAATGCTATTAGAGCCCTATCTCTTTAGGATGCCATGGCATCGACGCCGCCAGCGTCGCCAATTATAACATATTAAATTCTATTAGAACGTAATTAACCTTACCTCACTTGGCGACGGCTTGGCGTCGACGCCATTTTGGCGGCGATGCCAGCTCGAACCCGCCCGCTTGCTTGTCTTGGCAGCGGCGCCACGCAGTGTATTGTGTGTGCTGTGTAGTGAGTAATTCATCAAATGATAGCACAGACATCCTCACGTAATTAAAAAACTTGTTAGGATATTTTCGTAAGTCGTCGTATAATTTGTAAAAAAAATGCCACTTCTCATTCGATCGGCAATAAAAGGGTGTACCCATAGTTTATTTTTATTTTTTCGTTTTATTTGCCTACGGCGATAAAGAATGAGGATCACGATCTCTTCGACGTCCGTTGTGGTTGCATGAACAAGCGATACTAATTTCGCCTCACGTGCGACTAGTTTTGGCGTCTCATGGACGCCAACGGTAACCATGGAAGCACTGCCGGCGTTGATGCCATGGCGTCCTAATGAGATAGGGCTCTTAGTCTATCAACCCGTCGTCCTTGGGCTCGGTACGTTGATGTTTTCTAATTGGGTACGTGACTGCGAGTAAAGTAGCTAGAGTCGCCAAGTGTTTTTATACTATCAATGGGAACGCCAAAGACGTGATGTCTTGGGCGTTTATAACATGTCATGATCGGTATGTAACGGTGAGTACAGTTGAGTCACCAAGTGTTTTAACCGGCGAGCATGTATGCGTAGGTATATTGGAAGCGAGAGAAACGATAGAGGTAAGAGTACCTATGTCAGGGTCGTGCTGGAATAGTATGGAAGTCCGTAGTCTAACGCCTGTTACGCAGATGGGGCAGGCAATGTACAATGTATGTTTAACCTTAAACCAAACTACATAATTGACTTTATATATCTAGTATATTATTATAAACGTGATTTATGTGCTTACAAAAGCCCCTATTAAATGAAAAAAAACCACGAAAGTGGGTTAAAAATATCTATTTTTTGGCAATGTAAAAATATACACGTACGAAATAACGAGAATACCTACAATTAATGATTTCGGTCTTGCATCAGCCGTTTATCTGTTGACCATTTGGGACATAAACCGAAAATAAACCGCCCTACAATAATTTACTTATTACACGCAACGTTAGCACTTGCTCAAGCAAACTTCTATAATTATACGTAATATTGCGCTCATAAATCATTAAAATGAAAAGGTCACTTAACATAGCCTACGGTTGACACGAAAATAGCAAAATAAGATTTTATTGACGTTTGTTCGTGACCTTTTAGCTCAGAAAATCTCGGCTCAGAAGATAACGTCTGCGTGGCCCAGTTGCTTAGCATTGGTTTGCTGCGCTGAAGTCCGTGGGCTAGAGTTCCGCACGGAACATGTATTTGTTGTAAACAAGATACAAATATAAATAATTGATCCGGAAGTGGGATGTTTGTCCTTGTCCAATTCATGCATGAATACAGGACAGTGTCCACGATACAGAGGAAAAAATCTAGTGGTGAAACGTTAGAAAAAAGATCTAGGTACTTGGAGATATAATATTTTCAAATGTTAGTTTCTTGTACGTATTTTATTAATTGTTTTTTTTTTCAAAACACGCTACTTCTCATGACAATATAAAATTTGAGGTCATGACAAAGGAAATCATGACAATATGTGTATTTATTGGTGGACAGTTTTTTGTGAAAATAATTGCCATGATCTTAATAACCTAAAAATTTGTTGTAATAATTTTTAATCATCTTAATAGGCAGTATTATAATTATTTCAGTATTATATTTATTTTATAGTCCATGAACATTGAATAAATAATCTGCTACTACTTGCCCGCATTATGATTTTTATGACAATAGACGTGTGAGTTAGACGTGAGGGTACTAAATTACTGGTCTATAATTATACGTTACGTGCCTTACTTACAAAACAATGAATTGAGTGCGAACTCCGAATACCTACTTAATATCATTTCGTGATATTTCTTTGATTGACATCTTTTTTGTTTTTTTCGTTTTGCAATGAAAGTTCTTTCTAATTATTCGTAGTTTCCTCATAAATTTTAAAAGAATTTAGAGAAGGTCTAATTAAATAAAAACAAATAATTTAAATATCTCATTTGTAGTCGAACCGAAGGATTTGGAGAGCATTGCAAGTAAGTACATAGGCGTTTTAAAACGTAGTGCATTCAATACTTACTATAATATGTTCCTCTACGTATAATTTTGTTGCGCTTTTTCAATGTCGATGCTTGTAATACCGTTCCATTACAACTTGAAATTGCTAACAATTATGTTTATATTTTATTTGTTAATCTAATTTATTGTTGTTTTGTTTATGTTGTATAATATTATTACTTTGGACTTATGCATAGCAATATTGTTTTTTATGTACATTGCTATTTTATTTTTTCAGGCGCGTTTCTGGATGCAAGTAATCGGAGAACTGCGGATGGGTGTCAAATTAAAGAAGGTTAACTATTCTAGAACTCCCATCGAATACGAGCTGACGCCATATGAAATCCTAATGGATGACATCAGATCAAGAAGGTATACTTTAAGGAAAGTGGACGGGGCAATACCTCAAAGGTAAGGTTGCCTTAGCATACTCCTACATATATGTATTTTATAAATTATTTTGCAAAAACATTCTGTTTTCAACACATATTGTATGTGTCGTAGTAACGTCTGAATTATTTATCAATGATTTATTGATCGAAATATCAATCGAAATGAAAAAGAAATAGAGAATAAGATCAGAAGTTTTTTAATCACTATTGAAGTAACATTTTTGAAAATGCGTATTAATTAATTTTAATATTTTTTACTGTGACATTATTTTTAACTGAATTCTTTTCTTTAACAGTGTAAAGAAGGACGCACACGCCATGATTCTCGATTTTATAAGAAGTAGACCGCCTCTCAGAAAGGTTAGTACTTACAATGTTAATTTGTAATACTTGTAGGTACCTTGTATGTATTATGAGATCATGCTATTTTATTTAACAATTATTTTTACCACTTGCTCGGCGGAAAATGGAACCGTAGAGAAAGCTTTATTTGCGTGGTTTTACTTTATAGAATGAGGGTGACAAACGAGCACACAGTCCACCTGATGGTAAGTGGTTGCTCTGGTCCATAGACATCTACAATTATCCTCGAATAAGAATCAAAACGCATATGCGTCGTAACCCCTGTGAACTAAGATGGAATGCCTCGTTTGCTCGTTTCCAGTAAAAAAGGGTCTCCGTATCTCTACACTCACCATACGAAACACAGCAGTATTAAGCTGCTATTTTATGTTGGTATTCTGTGAGAGCGTGGTCCTTCCCCGGTCGAGTCGACCCATTCGTGCTACAACCATAATATATAGCTGCAGTGTGGGTCTACCACGTATAAAATGTACGATACCTTGTGCGCAGGCCTCGGAGCGTAAGTTGCCGCCGGTGCGGCGCGAGGTGACGCCGCGCGAGCAACTGCTGGCCTCCATCCAGCGCGGTCGCCAGCTCCGGCCCACGGCGTACTCGCGCCGATACTGTGAGTACCCATCAATTAAACTAAGGCACTCCCGCCTATATATTCTCACTCCTTATATACATGATCCACTAATAATAGCACTGTTGAAAAGAAACCAAATTAATTTAGCCTTCTTTAAATTGCGCTCCGGGTACATTCCTACCACAAAATTTATTTACATAACAGAAAAACCGGAATATAGTATTGCTACCTACATATTTTTTTATAGGATAGGGTGACAAACAAGCACGCAGTCCACCTGATGGTAATTAGTTGCTGTGGCCAATAGACATCTACATCTATCCTCGTATGCGATTCAAAATGCAGAATGCGTTGTCACCCGTGAGGACTAAGATGGAATGCCTCGTTTCCATCAAAAAGGGTCTCCGGTTCTCTACACTCACCATACGAAATACAGCAGCATTAAGCTACTATTTCACGCTGGTATCCTGTGAGAGCATGGTCCTTCCCCGGTTGAGCCGACCCATTAGTGCTACGACTATACTACGAATATAACTGCAGCATGGCTCTACCACGTAAAAGCACAACATGCAACATATGCTACAGTTTGGGTATTTCGGTATTGGTAGAAATACGTGCCACTTGTTGATGGAACACCTTGAACAGGGATAGAGGGAGTATCCACTGTGCTTTCGAATATTAAAGCAAAGAATCTGCTATACAAGTGAATCAACTTTTAGCAATATTGGCAGTATTTTACTAAATGAAAGTAGTAGTTATTTACTATTATTTTAAGATAAAATTATATTTTGAAAAAAAAAATATATTCTAGTAGCATAATTTATTTAAAAGCCTCGAGTTCGAAACTGCCATTGGACTACTTTTGTGGATTTTTCCTAAAATAAATATTTTAATGATAATTGCAAGTATTTTAAAAGAAAAAGTATAAATTAAAACATTTTATATTTTATTAGGTATATAAGTTAATTAGGTATCTTAATTAATCTAATTTGATGTTTCCATTTCAAATTTATGTAAGTTCATTTATTTTAAGTTCTTAATAGGCACACAGAGTTATTGTGACACTAAGTATTTCATCTCAAAAATCACATAATCTTAACGGCTGTTAAAACGATGACATATAAATTAATAATGATTATTAACGATCGGTTGTAAATTTTTAATATTTCCTAAATTGGCCGCGCCATCTGTTAGATAATCTCGACAATGATGTTGCACAAACTTTAAAATTGCTACAAGTACTATATAGATGGCGGAGTTGTATACTTTCATTTATAAAAACTGCTCTACCCTTACTAAATACACTCTTAAATTCAAACACTTCGATGTATACTATCTACTTTATTAGCAATAAATATGCTTTTGGAATTTCGAAACATTAGCTAATGTCTTTTGATTTTAATTATTTATATAATAACCGTGTGAGGCGTGCACTTTTGGACTTCCCAATTTTTTTACTATTTTGAGATGTTATAGAGACGTAGTATAAGGATATACGTGGTAGAGCCATGCTACAGCTATATTAGTAGCATAGTTGAAGCACGAATGGCTTGACCGGGGGAAGGACCACGCTGTCACAGAATATCAGCGTAAGATAGCAGCTTAATCCTGCTGTCTTTTTATTTACAGGAAACGAGGCATTTCATATTTATTCTCACGGGTGACAACGCATCTGTATTTTGATTCATAGTCGAGGATAGATGTAGATGTCTATGGGCCACAGCAACTACTTACCGTTAGGTGATCTGTGTGCTCGTTTATCCTATAAAAAGATGCTGCTGCATATCTCCTGTTTCGTTTCCTTTTGTCACCTCTTACGACACCCACGAGATGATATGGGGTGGTCGATTCTCTTATGCAGCCACTACACGGTAATGTACAATATATTGGAGTATAACATAAAGAATGATAACTGTCCCACTTTTGTTCCAGATTCCTAATCCTTTCCTGCAATCCAAATCCTGACGCGTCCTTACTGAAGAGAATTGTCTTTCACCTATCAACCTTTCGTCATATTGGTCGTACTGTACTACGAAGTTATTTTTTAATTCTTCTTTGTTTTAAATAATACGTAAATATTATACTACCTGTTTGAGTCTTGTACTTTTTATTCCTATGGTAGACGAGACGGATAAACAGCAATCTATCGGAGGCCATGAAATCTTCAACACCGCAAAGCAATTTACCTGTGGTATAATTTGTTTCTAGAAATAAAGAGCAGTCTGCTTTAGCTTCTGTTTATTCATATTAATATAAGGCTACGTTTATCATAGTCATGATGTGTACTTGCACGTCCTGGTTTTGAATCTGGGGCTTTTTTTGGAATTTAAAACTGCCTGTTTCGTTGTTATAGAGGCAATAGACGCGACTGTTGATCATATAATCCTGGGTTCGAATACCGGATCGGGCCAAAAATCAGTTTTTGTCTCCTCTGTCCGAAAATACTAGTAGTAGCAGCTGGGAGTCGGGAAGTTAGCGGTATTTAACTGTCTCGGAAAGCACGTGAAGCCGTTGGTACTGCGCCTGATCTATCGCTAGCCGTGTCAGGTTGCGATCCCATCTCATTATGAGAGTGAAGAAATAGAAATTGCACCTGTGCTTGCGAAAACAGTTATGCTCTGTAATACTTTCTTGCGCAGATGGATAGTCTTTAAGATTGGCCGCCGTGACCGAAATTCAGTCTGCAGGACAAAATATCAAAACTTTGGCCATAAGGTTTATTATTTAGATTTCTATCGAGATTATACTTTAATTAGATATCAGGCAGGAGCTTCGACAACCGACTGCATATGGAAACTCCACTACAATTTTAATTCCATTGTTAAGGCACACTGAATCCCAATTGTATTGGTGGGGAGCGGCAGTGCCGGTATGGGGGCGTGTTTACTCGTCGGCACTAGTTGAATTTTTTTCCTGTTCAAGCATCATCATCATGACTGTCCTTCAAAAGTCCACTGCTGATCTATACGCCTGCGGCCTTCTAGGCGTCAGTCGAGGTACCCGTTAGAGTTCCCGTCTTGCAGGTATTAGATTAAGAGTGAGATTGGAGACTTCTTGGTTCTGTTACGGTGGGTCTTGAATCATATTATTTCAAACCCCATGGATAGTTTTCATAAGCATATCATTTATCTCGTCCACCACATAGCAGTATTCTGAAACTAGAAACGATTTTGAGTTTGTGCTGATGGCTTACAACTCGAGCGGATGCTGGATCAGTTTGGAGCATTGACTTCATTAGACGGAATCTCTCTAGTTTGACGTTAAGATTCAGTCTGTCCTTAACAATTATAATGTGAGCCAATTTAAAAATAATGAATCCAGTATGCATAGCATCCATAGTATGTAAAATCCATAAATCCGTTGATAGGGTATAGAAAGGATGTTTGAGCCAGTTTTGGAGTAGTTTTAAAATCATTTGACATTTAATAAGTAGGCGAGCAAGCGTTACATATTTATATCAGGGAAAGGGCGACGCGAGTTTGATAAGAAGCATAGTCTTGCGAAATGCAATAAATATTGCGCAATTAACTATTATTACATAAAGTGCATTGCCTTCGTCGCTATTAACTATCTGCAATAGTTGTAGCGCTTCTTAAACAGTTTGACAACCGCAGTTTTTATTGATACTTGTAAATTTGTAATTAGAAAGACGCTGCTCATATTCTCGTATGTTTCCCTTCGTCGCCTTTGCGATATCTACGATATGGTGTAATGGATCGAAACAAATATAATTAAAATTAAATTAGGAATTTAAATACGTACGGGACAAAACATGTACGGCATTATAATATAAAATTGCGCGACCAAAAAATCATGCCCTAACTCAATGTATACGCCCACCATAAAATTTATTACCCTTTTGTGTGTTAGTGCGTTACGAAAGTAGATCGTGGCGCGCTTGAATAGCGCTGCTGGTGGCGTAACATGGGGCACTGCCTGTGAAAGGACGAAGATGGTGTACAGTTTCAAAATATTTGCGTAATATTTCAAAAGGCGCCTTAACTTTGTATAAATTTTAGATTTAATGTATGAGGTGACTTTCTAATATTATATATCTATGTTAGCGACTACCCCGGCTTTGCATGGGTAACCAACCGGGTTCAACTATAGTTATAAACCATCCAGGTGACCCCATCAGTACTCTATAAAAATTTCATCAAAATTGGGCTAACTGTTTAGAAGAATTACGAACAAACGCACAGCGGAATTTTGTATTATATAATTAAGGTGGCAAATGAAATTAAAAAAGAAACTTTTAAGAAAAGTGCCAACTTTTTTCTCTTCCTGATTCTTCTGGTATTTCAGCAGTTCATGTGTAGCTTTGACTTGACTTAGAAAGAAAACAAATGCTAACATTCCATATCTGATGGTAAGAAGCTACTGAGGGAGGGCAACTTGCAACCGACTACGGTTAAAGAAGGCTGTAGATGAGCTGTCGCTTGTCGATTGAGTGCTTGGTAGCCCATAAGTATACTGGCTAGCGTCAAATTATATAAAAACTCCAATATTGAGGCAAAAATATTTTTTGGCGTTAAGTTAGTTAGTTATTTATTTGTCATAATTATCCCCAGCCGAAAATAAGGAAAGCTATACAACTCGTAAAGGCCGTCACCAAATTTACAAATTTAAGAATCGATTTTAATCAGATATTATTCCTCTCTCTCTCTCTCTCTCTCTCATAAACACTCTTTCTCTTTCTATCAACCCGTACAGAACCCACTGCTGGACCTAGGCTCTACTGTTGACAGGGAGATACAATATCGCAGTATCAGACGTTTCGCACCTTTGAAACTTCTACCCGTCAACGATCCTGCTGGCATTATTACTAGGATTAATTTTAAAAATATAATATAAATCTTTAAAATGTTTATCTAAATGATCCGTTACACCGTTACAGCCTTTTAATAGTCCACTGCTCGCCCCTTGTTTGTAATTATTATTGCCATAGTGCCATGTATTTGCCCTAGTTTCCACGATTTGCAAGCGGGTTGGTAAACTGTTTTTTATTTTTTTTTTTATCAGAAAGCCGGTGCTGTCCA